CTCTGCAAATACTCTGGCTAAGTGGTCACCTGGGCTCAGCTTAGTAATTCCAGGAACAGAGAGCCAAGGTCCCCCAGCAGAGGAGGACGGTCCCGTTACTTTCCTTTTTAGATTAGGCTGGCTGGGCAGATAAATGGACACGAGGGTCAGTTGCTATACTCTAATTTGCTAGGGCAGGCCAGCGTGAGAGCTGCCCTTTAAAACAGCTTGTTTTTATAGCAAATGTGTGGCTTAAAGGTTTGAAGGAGCCAGAGGAGGACTGCGGCATGTGTGTCTGTCCCTGTAGCCTGGTTCCGCAGTGTGTCCAGTATTGGGAGAATGCAGCGCTATTGTGTGTGCTGATGCAAATCAGTTGTCCATTATTCTGTGTACTGTTTAAACGGCCACATCTTGCTTTTCATACTAAGGGGAACAAATTGATGCTAGCAGTGGTTCCCAAACTTGAGTGTGTATCAGACTCACCCAGAGAGCTTGTTAAAATAGATTGCTAAACCCCACCGCCTAAGTTTTTGGTTCAGTTTATGGGGTGGAAACTGATGTTTTGCATTTCTAGCAATTCCCAGGTGATGTTCATGCTGGGTTATAAAAAAAGTAGCTTCAGATGCATTCTTAGTACTGGAGGAAACTCTGAGATCCTTATTATTTGATGCTGTGCTCTGATGATATAGCACACAGGGCCAAATTTCAGCCATCAGTCCGAGCTCATGGGAGTCAGAGTACAACTTTAAATACAGAAATAACCCAACAACATTCTGAGACCACTGATTTCAAACTTCTGCTTCCCACACCTGTATCTGGGTTGCTAACAAAATGTAATTTGCTTCATTTTCCATTCTCCTTTTAGTTTCCACCCACCAATGATGGCAAATATATTCTGGTTGTTTGATGTTGAAATCATTAGTCTACTGGGTGGCAGGTGGCTCCACAGGCCGGTGTTGCTGCCACATTCTGAGCAGGGGCCGGCGCTGAGCTGTGTGCTGGGATGAGCTCGAGCCACATTTATGCCCTCATCACCTACAGGCTCACACCCATGACCTCAGTAGAATTAAGGAGCAGTTGTATTGTGAAAAGACCTGAGGTCCTTTAACTCTTGGAATTGCCTCTGTTCTCGGTGTACTGATAAGTCTTTGACACAGCCCAGGACCTGAGCATCTCTGATCAGGGTTCCTTCTGGCAAATTTTCCCACTGTGGCAGCTGCTCAGCGTTGAACTGTTTGCTCTGACCTTTCTGGGGCTGCCTGTCTAGAGATTGTCTGCAGACGACTGTGTGACAGAGGCTTCCTGCCAGGAAAAAATCATGACTGCACTTTATACCATAATTGAGTGGAGACAGGATTTACCTCATTGGAGCACCTTGCCTGACTCCATTTCATCTTATTAAAACAGAGACTGGGGACTTTGTTTTTTAATAAAAAATTTATTGAGATGATGCAATTATAGGCTTTTCTTTAAAAATTATTTGCAACTCACTGGCCCTGAGAAAAGGCATTTTTTTTTTTGTTTTGTTTTCTTTTTGTTACATTCATTTGATTCAGTCCCTTATAACCCCACACCTCATAAACAACGAGAGATTAGAAATTAAACAAACAAAAAGAAATTCTAGATTCGTTGTGGTTTGCAGATGGTTGCAGTCACAAAGAGGAATCTTCAAGAATGTTCCCTTGGCGTGTGTGAAAGATGCAGGGAGTTCGGAGTTTAGTGTTGATGCAGGCGGGACCAAGAGCCTCGGGTTTGTCTTGGTGGCGTCAGACAGGCAGGGGTGATGTCGTCCCCTCCTCCCTGCAGGGCTTCCTTGTGCCACTCCCTTCACTCCAGGCTTCTGCCCAGAAGCAGAGCAGGCTGAGCGAGTGAAAACGAACTAGCACCGAATGCCTGGGCAAAGAAAACTGCCCTTTGTTCTTTGTGTATTTTCCCAGACCTTTTACCTTCAGCTTCCTGGGTGGGAAAGGGTCAGGTGGGGTATGAGCGGGCTGGATCCCAGACTTAACTCTGCCCCTGGCGTGCTGTCTGCTCCCAGGGCAAGTCACAGTCTCTCTTACACTCAGGTTTCCCTCTGCAAGAGGGAGTTAATATTTCAAAGATGTATTGAGAGTGGGCGCGCCTAGGCAGGGACGATGGAAATGGTGGTTACTTGGCCACTTAGACAGATCCTGCCATAGCCTTTAAGTTTTAGCTAAATCTACATTCTCAGTGTAAAAAGACTGAGGGTTTCAGAGATTGCTGAACGGAGCAAACCCATCAGTCTGTTATTCCTCTTTTCCAGCGAGGAATCCTCCCACCCCCAAGATAGGGAACATTGGTGATGCTGCCTCAGGCCCGACCAAGGTGCCTTGGGACAAGAAGATCTTAGAGATGTGACTTCCACAGAGCCCGTCCAGCCAACTGCCATTGCTACTTTCCGATGGGGAGGAGGCAACCTGGCTACCTCGAGGTGCAGGGAGAAGATGCTAGGGAATGTCAAGGTGCAAGAGAGCACGTCCGTTCCAGACACAGCTGAAGAAGACCCCCTCCCCTTAGGTGCTCTCCTTTGGCATCTTCCTTGCCCAAATTCTGACCTTGCAAGCCAAGAATCCCCAGTGACTGCAGGGAAAGGCCCACTATTGAGATCACAGATGTTTTCATCTTGGTCCCAGGTGAAGTTTTTCTCACCCCTAGTATGTAGTGTTGAAGTGCGAAATGTCATGCTGGGTGGGTCCTGCAGGAAGGCAAGCTCCCGGGAGGGCAAGAATGTGCCTGATTCACTTTTGAATCCCTCACAGTGTCTACCAGATGCTCCATCCATGTTCGCTGAATTCAACCTGAAATCTGTGGGGTCCCCAGTGCGTGAGTCCTGTACGCCTGGTGTCAGCACTGCCCGGTAGCCTCTCAAAGAACAAATGGGAAAGTCTTTTGCTGTTAAGGGAATCAACAGAAAATTATTATTGGTAATACCTGGATGGAAAATCAAGACTCTACTGGAATTAGCACCTTCTATTTCTTTTTTAAGTGGTTGAAGGCGTCATCCGAAGTCTTACATATTCTTATGGAGTATTGCTTTAAATGCAGGAATCCTTGGGGCAAAAGGGAATTTTCCTCCATAATTCAACCATAAGATTCTTGGAATGGAAAGAACCTGAGTCCTCATACCTGGGTGAAGTGAATGGAATGAGATGTCCTAATCTTAGGGGGGGGGGGTGCATCATGCCCTGGTGTCTGATTTCAGTCACACAAAGGGCCCCAGAAAAATCTGCCCTCTCTCTCCAGCCCTTCAACTCAGTGGCCTTGGCAGCGCACCAGGAATCTGGCTTCATCTCTCCCTCTGAGATAGGACAGCGGTCGTCTCCGAGGCCGGAGAGCCCACGGTGTGCTGCTGAGCGCTCCGCGGAGGCCTCTGTGGCTTGCTGGGGTCCAGCTGCACCTCAAGCTGAGTCAGACCGAGCCTCTCACAAAGGGAGCCTCTAGCCTCACACAGAGGATCCCTGACCTCACTGCAAGCCCGATGTTCTGGACATTGGGGGGAGTGTGTGACGGCGGGAGCAGGCAGGCCACCTCCCTGTGAACAGAGCAAGACTGAAGGGCCCTGACCAGCTAGCTCCTCGATTCCAGTGTCCTTAAACCACAGTCGATCGACTGCGCCCCCCTCCCCCCAGGCTGTGCCCTTGTCAGGAGGCTGAGGGAGAATTCTTTGTGTCTGCTCCAACTCAGGCTGGAGAAGAGGCCGGGTCAGCAGCTTCACCTGGGCCCGCAGCCCAGTCCCAGCCGTGCCCTGGGGGCGCTGTGGCCTGCCCGCCCGACTGAGCCCAGGAGACAGACAGGAAGGGGGCTCTGTGAGGCAGGTCTCATCTGTGAATTAAAAAGACACCGAACTCCTGACGTTGGGTTTGGAACCTGTATTGGAAGAGTCCGTGTGGACAGGTAGAGAAGGAAAGCAAACCTAGACAGCTCTCTAAGAACGGCATCATCGAAAGTACTGCAAGGTGGCGCTTCCCTCGTTCTCCAAGACACTATCGACCTTATTTTGAGGTGAAAAAGAGCCACAAATGGGTCCATTCTGAAACACAGCTGTGCAAGAAGGAAAGCAGGATATAGTAATTATCTGGGGGTTTCCTGTCTGCCCAGGCTGGGCAAACACGGGCAGCAACTGACACGCACATTCCGGGGTCGCCCCTCTTGAATGCCCTGTGTCCTATGGGGACCAGGAAATTAAAAAAAAAAAAGCCTAGGAATTGAAAAAAGAAAAAAGGTAAGTGAGGACGTGGAACTGACCACATGACGGCCATGGGAAGGACCACAGAAGACCCTTCCTGCCTCCCACTGGCCTCCATAACCCGCTCTGGGATAAGGGCGTCCCACGCAGTTTTCTCTGTTTCTGGACTATCAGGCCTATATGGTCTTCTCAGATTTTCCACGTTGCAGCAGGTGCAAGCTGATCCAGGGGCCGGCTCTCCAAACCACCTGGACAGCCGTCCACGCTGGCCGAGGCTCTGCGGAGCCAGGGAGCTGGGAGACAGCCCTGCCTGCGGGACTCGGGACTCGGGACTTGGGACTCAGGACTCACACGCGTCTCCCCGGAGGACAGCAGCGTCTCGGCTGTTGTGGGCCACATGCAGGGATGTGGGTTTGATTTAGCAGCGCCGGCCCCAAAGCACCACGGCCACTGATTCCGTTTGGGTGCCAACTGCTCTCCAGACTCTCCAAGAGGCTGAACAAGGGGGAGGTGGGTGGGTGGGCAGAGCAGGGAAGGAGAGAGAGCAGGAGGGAGAAAAAGAGAGCTCTCTCCTTTTCACTTTATCTTTTTAAAAAGCATTTTCTTTTTCCAGCCAAGATCCAACAGCAACAGGAACGGACCTGATCCCCGTGGCAGGAGAAAGAGGGGCCTGAACCCTTTGCAAGGTTCCCGTTCCTGACCAGCGGGGCTTGCTGCACTTTGTGAGATTTGCAAAAAAAAAAAAAATATATATATATATTTATATATATATCTATTTATATATATATAAATAGATACATATTTCCATAGGAAAACAACCTCGGATGTCTTCCCCTAGATGAATGATGAAAAGTCAAACTGCATGGTCTTAAAAAAACAGAAACAAAAACACCACGACGCTAACAACAAGGGGAAGGGTGAGGTGAGGATCACAAATGGACCGATCCGAGGGAGCAGGACCTGCGGCGCGCCCGAGCTCTGCCCTCGCCGGCGTTCAGCCCCGCCTCTGCCAGGGGGTTTGTCTAAGGTGCTGGGGTCCCTCGGGGTGTGAAGAGAAGTGTCGCTCCCATTCCTGGGTCTGTCCTGCCCGCCCTCAGCCCGCCTGCTCTGTTCCGTCCCCGGCAGCCCTGCGGGACAGCGAGCGGGCCCTCAGCTGCGGCCCCTGAGATGGGAGGTGGCTGCCCTCAGCATTCATCTTCTTGGTATATTTGTTCATCCAGCTCCTGGGACTCAAGGTGCTCCAGACGGTCTGTTCGGCCACTCATGATTTCATCTGGGGTTTTCATAAACCTTTGGAAGAGGAAATGGAGGAGTAAAGAGATTGCATTTTCCTAAAGTTGTCTTCACCCTGAAGTCGACACTAAAAAGAAAGGCCTATCCCCTCACAGAGCTGGAGAGCCAAGGAGCCCAGCTACTGACGCCATGAGAGCAAGGCGCTGCTTCCCACGAGGGCCTCAAACATGGTGAAATAACCATAACAAAAAGGCTAGGACGACAGCAGGGGGGAGAGCACCCACGGGTGCTGCGCGGTGCACCCCGTGACCACGCGGGGGAACCCTGGCCAGCTCACGCATCTGTTTCCCACTCTGAGGGAGTTACCGGGACCCCTGAGAGCGGCAGACCCACTTCCACCCGAACTGTGATCCAGGGAACGGCCTGCGAAACTGGTCTGAGCTCAATGACACAATGAAACGCTGAGAGGAAAATTCTGACAATGGTGCCAGTGAGTGGTGCTTTGGGAAACCGAAAAGGCAGAGAAAATCTTTCCCATGTCACCACTGATGAACCCCAAATGTTAGCAATGACACCCCTTGATTCTGTCTCCCTCTGCAGCCAGGTGCAGGGCCTCTTCCTGTTCATTGGGTTTCAACCACGATTTCCAGGGTCGGGAAGGCAGCCGAGAGCAGAGGTTCTGCTGGTACCGGGGAGTGCCCTTTCCCAGACCCCGTGCTGACCCCTCCCCTTCCCACGCTCGGCCCTGCCCCGACCAACCGTCCAACACCCGCCTTCCTTCATCCCTCCGCGTTCAAAAGCCTATGGTGACCACTTATCAAGTCAAGGACATGCCCTGTGGCCTGCCGGCTGGGCCCGTCATCTCATCCAGGAAACTTGGATTCCCACTGTTCACGAGCAGGAATCCGTTCCAGTCCGGCCGGGCTGCTGCTTCATATGACCGGGCTCAGGCCAGCCTCCAAGCTCTGGCTCTGCCCTACGCAGCCCTCCCCCCTCGGCTCAGGGCCCCGCTTCCCGGGCTCCGGCCTCCTCCGCCAGCCGCCAGGGGCCAGCCCCCCGCCCCCCGCCCCCACTTCACGGGATCACACCCCGGGCTCACAGCCAAGAAGCCCTCCTTCTGTGGCAGGCCTGGCTGCCACTCGCGTCCTCAAACACGGCTGATCTCCCTCGTGAACTGCAGTACTCTTTCCTTTTCTCTCGGGAAATCACTACTGGACACGCCGTGTTTCTCCTCTGCCCACAGTGCCGGCCTCGGGCAGAGCCATCCGCGGCCTCTGCCGTCTGTCTTCCACCTTTACTCCCTACGAAAGCTTCTCCCTCCACCCCCGACGTCACCAGTGATCTCCTCCCGTATTTGGCCTTCAAACTATCCCTTTCTTCTTTTGACGACTTTTCCATATTCAACTCCGGATATTCCATGCTATGCTTGTCGAGAACTACTTACTGAAAGCCTCCATAAGGTGTAAAACAGAATTATACGAAATACAAAACGAGGATCATGGTGTGGTTTAGGAACCAGGGAGCCCAGGAGAAGGGATGTGTGTGTCTGAGAGCTGAAGGCCTCACAAAGGCAGCTGACCTGAGGTGGACCTCGAGGGTCTGGCTGTTAAAAACGTAAAAGCTGAAGGGATATACGTTCCTGGCACAGGGCTTGTAAGATAGAGTTGGAAACACCAGACTTTATCACATGGCATTAAGAGGGACGGCTGATTCATGCACATTTTGTTTCAGGGCTGTGTGTGCTGGCAGTGGGCACTATGATCGGGGGGCAGGAGAGTGGACCAGAGGTACAGAGAATGTTGAGTTAATCTGGGTGTGAATCTGAAGTCTAGATCAGTCTCTATTGCTCGGAAAGCAATAATGATCATTTTGCCTTTCTTTAATCTACCAAATCTCAAGAAAGTGCTTTTCAAGGGTGTGCAAATGTCCAGTTTGGAATCTGCTGATAAGAAATCTTGGGACATGTGGTCCCTGCAACACAGAGCAGAGAGCATGGACAGTCCAGCACCGTGGCCGACTTGGATACAGGAGAGTCAGAGACAGCGGCAGTGTCAAGGCCGGGTGTGAAAACGATGATGATGCCATGATGAGAAACAAGAGTTCGGGGGGGGGGGGGGGCATATTTCTAATATGTGAAGGTCTGTCTTGAATGTTTCATGTCTGATATACTAACATGAAATTTAAGTGGACATGTCCCATAAGAGGATCTTGGAAATTCAGATTTGAAATTTCAGGGAGATTTTTAGAGCTCGATATAGAGACTTAAGAATCTAACCATTGAGGTGATCATTCAAGCTGCGTAATGGGATCAGCTCAGGACAATGTACAGAGTGGGAAGAACAGAAGCCAAGGACTAAGTCTGGGAAGAGGAACGAAGGGAAGGTATCAGCAGAGCCAGGAAAAGGTGGGCTCTTTTTTCCTTCATTCCCTTGTTTCCATCTCTTGAATAGCCTTTTCCATTTGTTTTCAAGATCTCAATGGTTTTTACTACTCTTTCCCAATGCTAAAGCCCAGGTTCTTTGCTCTTTCCAGTGAGCTCATCTGCTCATAGATAGTTTCAGTTTCTACCAGTACATATATAATTCCAAACCCACATCTCTAGCCCCCTCTATAAGTTTCTTCTGTCCCACCTGCCAACACCCATGGCCTCAGGTTGTTGTTGATCCCCTTCCTCCCATCTTTCAACCACCAATGAACACCAGTGCTCTGCTTCCCCTGACTGGTCCTTTAGATCCTCTTCCTCTCCCAGTTCTCTCTCCTTTCTTACACTGTACTGGGAATCACAGCCTGTGAGGTGGTTTAAATGGCTGGCGCTCAGCTGTGAGGAATTCTGGGAAGAGGAACGTCTAGAGCAACAGCTCAGACTTCTGATTTCTGATCACAGTGCATCGTAATAAACACATCTCACATCATCACTCAGCACACACACAAATGTGCATGAATCAGCGGTCCCTCTTAATGCCATAAAGTCTGGTATTTTCAACTCTATCTTATTCTCATTAATTCTGTTCTACTTAATTAAAAAAACAGTTGTGACGGACTCGTTAAATGTATTTCATGTCTCACTCACAGGTCACGACTACAGTTGGACAAGCACTGGTTCAGAAGCTAGCTGACAGGCTTGGCACCCTGGGAGTGCAGGGTTAAGCCCGGGCTTTGCCAGGGACAGCCTACTCTGGGTGCTCCCTTCACAGGGATGCTAACGGCAGAGAATCCTATTTGATCACTGAATTATTTTGAAGGTGAGTCAGACTGTTTGCCTAGCTTTGGTTTTACTGTAGGACACACATAAGTTAAAAACAACAACAGTTTTCCTTAAATTCTAGCACACCAGCACTGGCATCCAGTGAGCCACCACGACGGCTCTGAGTATCCGACGGGCAGGTAGAGATGTTAACAGTCTTCCCTCCTCCCTCTTACTGAAAGAAAACAATATCCTCCCAAAAGAAGGAAAGGAGAAAAAGGAAGTGCTACCTGAACAAAAGCCTTTGTCCTGGCTCCTTCCTGATAATGTTCAGTTTGTAGTAGTGGCGCAGGGCTCTGGACATTTTCTCATAGGTCATGTTTGTTCTGTTCTGTTTGTTCAAAGGAGGAAGAGAGAGAAAAAAAAGCACAAAGACACAATGAAATGAACCTCAGAAAAGGCGCTGGGGAGCTGTTAAAATAAAAGCTCTTCAGCTGCTCCTGCGGCCCTGCTGGTTTGGGAAGCTACCTGCTAACCTGCGCTCGCAGGCCCTTTGCTCTGACACCGGTGGCTGCCAAGGTTTCCCCTAGAGAATCACCCTTTGTCAGAAGCCCCGGAGCTCTCGCTGAGGAGCAGACCCCACGGCAGCCTCCCCGGTTTCCTTTCCCAAGACTGTGCCCGTGGGATTTCCTGCAGGTCCCCACTATCTGTGGGTCACCCTTCACCTCCTGACCCACAGAGAACTTCTTTCTTCTCTTTCCGTGCAGGGACCTTTCTCAAACTGTGTTTCTGGTTTGTCATTTTAAGGAAGAGATTTTTTTGTTGTTTAAGTTCCTGCTGTGGAAGCGGGAAGAGTGGTTCCGAGCCCTATGGCACAATGTGGGAGCTGCAGAGGGATTTTTCTCAGCGACTCACAGCAGGAAGGGGCTGGCAGTGGGCCTGCTTTAGGTCCTCCAAGGCTGCAGCCAGGCAGAGCAGCTCGGTGGTCCGGCCCCTCCCGTCCCCTCCCATCTGGCTGACCTGGCGCTGTGCCATCAGGTCCCCTTGAGGGCTTTGCCCCACGTCCACCTGTCTGTGGTCGGGCCTGAATCTTGGCTACTTGTTTTTTTATTAAGTAGAAATACAGATTTATTTATTTAGTTTTTTTTGGGGGGGAGCTCTTTGCTCTATTTATTTTATTTTGTTGTGGTAAGAACCCTTAACATGAGATCTACCCTCTTAACAAACTTTTAGTGCACAATACACTAGTGTTAACTCTAGATACAATGTTGTACAGCAGGTCTCTAGAACTTACTCATTTTGCTTAAAGTCCTGCCCATTGACTAAGTAACTCACTTCCCCCTCCCCCCAGCCCCTGGCAGTGCCATTCCGTTCTTTGATTCAATGAATTGGCTTATTTTAGACACTTCATAAAAGTGGAATTGGGCAGTATTTGTCTTCCTGTGACTGGCTTATTACACTTAGCATTATGTCCTCAAGGCCCATCCACTCTGTCGCATACTGAAGAATGTCCTTTTTTTTTTGGTTCGTGCCCCTAGCGGGAACCGAACCCCGGACTCTCTGGTCCATAGGCCGAGGCTCCAACCGCTGAGCCAAACTGGCCAGGGCAAATGTCCTTCTTTTTTAAGGCTGAAAAATGTTCTATTGTACACATAGATCAGTTTCTTTATCCACTGGTTCATGGATGGACGTTGTGGTTGTTTCACCTACTTTTTACTTCAACACCCTTGAAGAGTTTTCCTAACTATAAAAAGCTTTATCTTTTAAATTCCACTCCCTCTTCCCAGCGTGGAAAGCTGTGGGGCAATCTTACTTCTTGCACTGTTTGCTTTTCAAGGGGGATGTTTTGGAGTCAGAAGGTAAGTACTTTCCGTGGGAAACGGGCTTTCGGGAACATGGGAGTGTCTCACCGAGCAGAACAGAAGCCACAGTGAGGGCCCCGCGTGCGTCAGAGGGCCCCCCGCGCCTCCCTGTCACCAGCTGCTCTGACAGCGCGGGTCACAGGGCCAGGTCAAGGGGACGGGGTGAGTGTTTCTCAGACCTCAGCCCAGCAGGCCAGGATGTGCCGAGTTAACTGGCACCTGGCCTCCACAGCGAGCAGAGAGGGGCATCTTTAATTATCTCCTTCCCTTTGCCGCTGTCTGACTGTTTGCCCAGTAAGGAAGAGACCAAATAATTACGGGCAGACTTAGGAAGCAGAAGACAGACAATGGTCCTCCACCCCTAGGACACAGGCTTCACTTTGGCGCGTGTTTACAGAGCAGATATCTGGTGCCCTTTTACCTTATGGTTTCCCCACAGGCGAGCCAGTCCGTTGGGATCCACTATCCGGAATATTTTGGATTCTTTGTCCTCCCATCGGATGAAGTTTTCGTACCGGCTGTCAGAAAGCAACTGATAGACGTAATCCCAGAGCAGTCTACAGTCTACAGAGGAAAAGGGCAAGAAAACACTGTTGAAAATGTTTCTTGTTGAGACTAAGAACAGGAATGAGAAAGCAGCTGAGTAACCGCTCTTGCCTACTTTGGATGGACTGCTAACGCCCTGCCTGGCACAGGGCAGATCTGCGTCCAGAGAGGCAGGTGGGATGGTGCCGGGGAGGGTGACCTTTGTCCAGTGCAGGCCTACAGACCGTCCGAGCCAACTGCCCCCTTCCACAGCAGGGCACACAGTGACCTGGAGAGAGGAAGCGACCTGTCCTGGGTCAGGACCAATGACTTACATATGAGCAGAGCCCACAGGACACTGGGGCAGAGAACCAGCTCCGACTGTAAATGCGTCGGCTCTGAAAGTGGGCTGGCAGGGTGACGGGGCAGAAGAGTGACAGTCTGCGGGGTAAGGAAAACACTCTGTGACTGAGCGACTGTGACCAGCATGTTTGTTTTTTAAAGAGAATACAGATATTCTCACTCTTGCATACTTTGGAGGTCTTTAAAACTGTTTCATTACCATGGAAGCAGGATAGAAAGAAACCCAGTACAAAGCACGCCTTTCCACTCGGACACCTGATGCGCGGTCATTGGGCTAGGCAGCCAATATTTATCGAGTGAGTTAGCACAGGCCAGGCCCTTGCTCGCCTTCACCTCTGTGCTGTGGGTTGGCAACGTCAAAGAGAAGACGGGATGGCACGCCCTTCCTTTGTTGTAGTGCTCTTTGGATTTGCGCCAGGGGTATGCGGTTTGCCTTCCAGCAGAGCCTGGACAGGCGGGTGGGGACGGACAGGTACTTTCTAGGTCCAGTTGATGTTGGACTGCCTCCCGATGACAGTAAGAGACCGTCTCCAGGTGTTCGCTGCAGGCTGGGGGCTACGCTCGGCACCACGGAGGACTGGTAGCAGAAGACTGACACAGGACGCCGGGCACCTGCTTGGCACCCTGCACGCGCTGTTCCTAACCCTCTCCTCTGAGTCCTGGATTTGAACTCTGAGGCTCCTGCACCACAGTGTGCTGACGTCCTGCTGGGCGAGGCTGGGAGCCCGGGAGGGGTGTCTGGGTCAGACCGGAGCGTGTCTGCCAGCACGTTCGCCTCCAGGGAAATAAACACACCCTCTCTGGAGTGTATGTACAGGAGGACTTGTGTCTGGTCACCTTGCACGAGTTTCTCGAATCTCCCTGGGGTTCTGTTTCCTTATTTATGAAACCTGACTAACACCACTTGCTTTACAGCAGTGATTTTCAACCTTTTTCATCTCGGGGCACATATAAACCAATTACTAAAGTTCTGCGGCACACTGAAAAATATACTTTTTGCTGATCTGATCAAAATTTTAAAAGAAGTATAATTTTGAATCATCCACACCGGATGGCTATTGTTGTGTTGGCTGCTGTCAGTTTTTTATTGGACAGCCTAAGGAAAAAGAGGTCAGTGCCCCTGACCGAAGAGGCAGGTCTGCGTGTTCTGACTCTTGCGACCCTGTCCGCACAGCGCTGCTTCACGGGCTGCTGCGTGAGTGATGACGCGAGTGGAGAGTAATGAAATGACAGCGTGCTCCTCGGAGCCGTCTGCGGGTACCGTGCAGTGCCCTCTGCGGGCACAGCTGCCTGTGGTCCTGGTGCTGCCCGATGCGGCAGGTGCTGTTGCTGTTTCAGGGACAAGGGCGCTGGGCTCAGAGGCTTCGGTAACTGGCCAGAGGGCACGGTGCGCAAGGGAGACACAGAATTCTGGGCTCCCTGTGACTTTGAGGCTGTGCTGCACCGCACTGCCCAACGCCATCTCTGTTTTCAGAGAAGCAGGAGAACAGGCAGATATTTGTAGAATTTTAGGACTTCCTACAGAGAGGTGTAACTCAGTTCAGTGAAATCCAGCGTTTTCCCTGAATAGAACTGGCATAAAGTATGTCTCTCTCACTTCGATGTTTCCCTCTCTCTCCCTTCCTCCCTCTCTAAAATAAATAAATAAAAAAGTAACTAGTATTTAAAAAAAAGACCATAAATCTTTAGTCTCTCTTACTGTATCTTTGCCCCCCTGATTACCTGCATCTAAAAATGAATGTGATGTGTGACGTACTGTGGCGTGGGAAAGGACAAGCGGTGTTCTTCAAACAAGGCACTGGGCTCCTCGAGCCTGGACCCCGAGCCATCCAGCCCCTCTATCACCACCCCGACCTGCAGCTGGATGCTTGCTGCCAGAGGGTGGTCTGCGGTGGGGGACGGCAGGGGGACAAAGCCTAGCGTCACACAGTACCTTGCGAAGGCAGCGTCCAGCTATTGCAGACTGAGAATAACCAGCTCTCGTATGAGGACTACTCTAGTCTGCAGGCAAAGCAGCGACCTGGGCAAAGGCTTACCCCTCTCCCTGCCCTGCCACTTCCTCGTCTCACAGCAGTTTTACTGCAAGTGGAAAACAGAACCGAGCTGTGGTTTAACTGTCCAGCTTTTGTCCTGCCATCAAGTGGCAGAGACATTTTAATTTCCTACCATCTCATCTCTGACAATACCAACGATTATCATAGAAAATGCTAGTGAACAGGAGGAACAAGATGGTGGTGGTGGTGTGTGTGTGTGTGGGGTTGTGTATAACTATGCAGCTTCCTACAGGGTGACGATTATTTTTACCACAAAGAGGCTAGATGACACCTTTAGATTCATCTAGATGGGGGGATGTGATTCTGGAGTGTTCATATAAATAAAGTTTAATAATAAAAACGATCTTGTTGTCTCATGTAGTTCGATCTCGAGAAATCTTGCCCTCGGGCGGGTGAGTGATGCATCGCTGCAGCCCCGGCTGGAGGCTCACGCGGCTGGAACTCCCTGCGGCCGGTTCTCCTCCCATCCCGTCCGCACAGGATTTTCACTGTGCTTGTGCCTGCTGCTTCTCTTTCATGGCTCTGGTACCACCTATTTCTCACAAAACAGTAAACCGTGACCCAGGCCGCTGCTTCAAGTGAGGGCGTACCCAGCTCTGGGTACCAGGCTGGCTTTCCACTTTCATGCGAAGCATCTGCTACAAAAGATCTAGAAGGTCGCCTGCTCTTTGGTTGGTAAATGAAGGGTGGTCTTACCAGAGAACAGACTTTCCTGTAAGATTCAGAAACATTTGTATTTTGCAAACTTTTCTCTTTCATAAATGTGAAAATAACCCCAAACAAGCTGCCACTTAATCATTTTAAATGGCATTTAATCCAGCAAAGCCAACTTTAGCCGAGTAATAAAAATATGTTGACATTCAAGACACTGAATTACTCAGTCACTAATGGAGGTAGCAACAGGAATTTTGTGGCATAAAAGCAGTTGTTTCAAGCCCAGAGTATAAGTGGCTTTTATAACACTATTGATTGTTTTGTTTCTTTAGTTAAAAATTATGCCAGATGATAAAAATAACTGCCTGACCACACAGGTTTTTTTTCTTTTTTTTAAACTGAAGTTCAAGTCATATGAGTTATTTTTGTTTTTAAGATTTCAACAGAATAAAAGGTAGATCCTTCTTACTTCCCTGGATTCTCTGGAGACTGTCACCACGGCCCCCCTCAATTTCTCAGCTTTGTTAAAATCCATGTCTGCACAGATGCAATATTCTCTTTTTTTTTAAACTGAGGTATAACTGGCATGTAACAGTACAGTATTAGTTTCAGGTGTACAACATTACATAATGATTGGACATTTTTATCTATTGGGAAGTGATCACCCCAGTAAGTCCAGTTACCATCTGTCACCAGATAGTTATACATTTTTTTCTTATGATGAGAACTTTTAAGATGTATTCTCTTGGCAACTTTTGAATAAGCACTACAATGTTACTGACTACCATCACCATGCTGTGCCTGACATCCCCATGACTTATTCATGTTTTAACTGGAGGTTTGTACGTTTTGTTGTTGTTAATCCTCACCTAAGGATATGTTTTCCCAGTGATTTTTTAGAGAGAGTGGAAGAAAGAGACAGGGAGGGAGGGAGGGAGAGAGAGAAAGAAAGATTGATGTGAGAGACACATCGATTGGTTGTCTCCTGCATGCACCCCAACTAGGGCTGGGGATTGAACCTGCAACCCAGGTACGTGCCCTTGACCAGGAACCAAACTTGCGACCCTCTGGGCTGCGGGCTGACACTCTAACCACTTAGCCCACCAGCCAGGGTTGAAAGTTTGTATCTTTTCACTCCTTTCACTCATTTTGCCCCGCTCCAAACCCCTACTTCCTCTGGTAACCCTCATTGCGTTCTTTGAGATACAATGTTCTTTGATCATCAAGGAAATGTTTAATATTATGTAATAAAATGCATCAAACTATAAACAAAAGTTCATCCCATGATAAAACACTTGAACACCATGTAAAGAAAATGCTGTATCACAGGGTATTCATTAATTTTAAGGGCATTTCTTCTAAGCTAGAGGGCCTTCTACATGCAGATATGTGGATATGTGGATACTTTAAACAACTGTCCATTACTGGATTGTCTCTTCCATGAGAGGAAGTTTATGAAAGGATTTAGCTCAAGTAAAATGTCATCACAAAGCACCAATTTCTAACTGCAGAAGGAGAATGCTCATTCTTTCCTGCTGCATGACGGACCCTGGCTGTCTGCAGCTAAAAGACACTGTGAAAAAATCCCTTCCTGTTGTTAAGAAGAAATATTTTCACTCCCACGCCTGTCTCTTACCAGAAACTCATTGTAAGTTCATTGAGCAGAGACTGTAAAAAAGATGGGCAATTCACAAGTAGCCAACATGGTTTCCAAAGAAAAGACCATGCTAGACAGAGCTGAAGTTTATAAAATCTGAGTGGGACGTCAAGTTACTGACAAAGGGCATGTTAAATGATGGTAGTTAATTTAAATTTTGGGAAAGCTTCTAAGAGAGTAATTTTATGTAGTTTTTATTGCCTAAATGAAATTTTAAATGAAAGTCTGAAAACTGGAGTTCTGTGGGTATAATCTCCAACAAGAAAAGACTGAGTGTCCCTGTTTCATTTCTTTAAATTTATTATGCAAAA